GCCTCGGCCCGATCGCCGGCCTTGGTTTTTCCTCGCCCCCTCGCCCCCTCGCCCCTCGCCCCGTTGGGCCGATCGCAGCTCGCTCCTGCAACTGGTGCGCCCGGCGCTGGTGGCCGCGTCCCAAAACCCCACGGCATCCATCGATGCCTGCCTCGACCGGCTGGACTGGGTCATGGTAGTGGCGGGGATGCGCGCGGCCGCCGGGCGCCCGGTCGGCCGGGATGCCCTGCAGCGGCGCGCCGGCTTCCTGCTGGCCTCGCTGCTGGCCGCCCTGCGGTCGGGAGGCTGACCCGACCGTTGGCATTTGCCCATGCGTGAGCCCGGGCCACAATAGACGTAGATTGCGGCGTTCAACCGCGAGCGCGCGCGCGCGCGCGGATCCGCGCTTCGTGTCCCACGCGTGGGGGGGGGGGGGGGGGCGGGGGGCTGGTGTGCGCGGGCCGAGGGCCGGTGTGCGCAGGCCGAGAGCTGGTGCGCGCGGGCCGAGAGCTGGCGCGCTCCCGGGCACTGGCACAGGGCAGTGTCGCCCACATGAAGAGGGCCCGGGCCGGGGCCCCAGTGGCCAGGAGACGAGTGTAAGCCGCCCCCCTCCCTCGCCCCCCGCATACTGCACACACTTTGACGCACAGCCGAACGCCTCTTCCCGCGACCGTCCTCCTACGCGTGGGACATTCCGCCGCTCCTCTCTCTCTCTCTCCCTCCCTCCCTCCCTCCCCTTCTCTCCCCTGTCATTCCCAGTGCGACACACCCGCCCGGGTGCAAACCACACACTCGCGGCACGCATCCCTGAGCGCCAAGCCCAGGCCACGATGGCAACAATGGACTTTGAGGACCCGCCCTTGAGCTCGGACGAGGAGATCGTCGATGTCCGACAGTATGGCCGGCCGGCGGACGGGCTGATGGATGCTGTCCAGCGCTTCTCCGAGAAGGACAACCCGGTGCTCGCTGCCGGCGGGCCCGCCCAGACGGCTGCGCTTGCCACGCTCGATGACCATGCCGATGGCCCGGGCGACACCTCAGCCAGCCCGGCCATGAGTGATCGCGTGCGCGAGGCGCTGAGCCGAGCCCGCCAGGCAAATGCCTTCCTGGACTCGATGCGCGAGGAAGGGGTCCTGCCGCCGCGCCGCCCGGCCGTCGCCGAGGAGGACAGCCAGGCCGAGGTGGCATCCCCATCTGAGCCCGAGCCCGAGCCCCAGCCCGAACCCGAACCCGAGCTCGAGCCCGAGCTGCCGGCCAAGGCTCCGAAGACTTGTGAATGTGACGCCAAGTCGGCCGCGCAGGCCCCCTCGCTTGAGGATGTCGGGGACTTCTCGGACCTGGAGCTCGAGCTGGGCAACTACTACGAGGACGATCTGGCGCCTGTGGACTCGGATTCCGAGGCATCGAGCGGCTCCTCCCCCTCAGCCCGGCAGTGCCTGGCCGACTGTGTGCGCCTGTCGCGGGAGCTCCGGTCGCTGCAGCTGCCGGCCCTGCGCGACGCCAGTGGCTTTGCCTTTCACCCGTGCCCGGAGCTGGACGTGCGAGCCCTGGCTTCGGAGACCGACCGCGGGGCGGCCATTCGTCGAGCCCTCGGCCAGGCGGCCGTTGGCCATACGCCGCTGGTGGTGCGCGGCGCCCTGGACCACGCGCCAGCCGTGGCCCTCTGGCGCTCGTGGGACTATGTGCTGGATCGCATTGGCCGGGACACCCGGGTGACCGTCAGCGTGACGCCCAACGGCCGGGCGGATGGGCCGGTGCGGCCGGCGGCCGCGCGCGCGCGCGGCTGGCTCGATGCCAGCCAGACCCCCGGCAACACCGACGGAGCGGCCGGCGACCCGGCATGGCTGTTCATCACCCCCCACGAGCAGACCATCACTCTGGGCGAATTGCGCGAGCGCCTGCGTGCCGGGCGTGCGCGTGTGGCCGCCACGCGCGATCGGATCGGCCTCTCGCGGAGCTTCATCGCCGACGGGCAGGTGGAGCTGCCGGCAGATTGGGCCCTGCTGCCGGATGACGAGGTGTACTATGTCCAGCTGCAGAATGGCAACATTGCCTCGATGCCGGAGCCCGGGCCCGCCGAGGGCGAGCAGACGCCGGGCCACACGACCGGCGAATGGGCGCGCATGATCGGCGACGTGCCGACATCGCTGGACTTCATGGTGGACGTGTTCGGTGCGTCGAGAGCCGCCCGCGGCTGGGCTGGCTTCTGCCTGGTGCCTGGTGCCCGGTGCCTGGTGCCTGCCCAGGCGCATGCGTGTGCATTCTCATGAACACGCCGCGCGGGGCCATGCGCAGGCGCTCTCGGCCGCGTTGTGTGCTCCACCTGTGCGAGATGCGAGAAGACTAACGGTGTGACGGGTCCCTGCTCTCTTCTTTTTCTCCGCCACCGCCGCCGCCGCCGCCGCCGCCGTGGCCTTTCTCCGCTGCCCTGCTGCCGGCTGTCGCCAACGCCCAGGCACCGAGCCCGAGGTGGTGAACCTCTGGCTCGGGGATGCCCGCGCGCAAACCAGCATCCACGGCGACCCGTATGAGAATGCCTACTCGGTGATCACCGGGCAGAAGACCTTCTGGCTGTATCCGCCGGTGGATGCGGCCTTCATGCGCGAGCGCGCCTGCCAGGGCGCGGTTTTCGCCCCGAAGGACAGCCAGCCGGATGGGGGGCCATCTGCGGGCCCCGACGGCGGGGCCTGCCGGGCCTTCGGCATCCGGCCGGCCGAAGAGTCCTCCACCAGCTGGGTGACCTTCGACCCGTGGGTGACCCTGCCGCGGCCGCTGGCGCGCAACCCGGCGCACTATGTCCCGGCCCCCGTGCTGGCGACCCTCCTCCCGGGGGACCTGCTCTACCTGCCTGCCCTGTGGTACCATGGTGTCCAGCAGGATGGCTTCCCGGGGGGCGCCGCCGAGGCCGGCCAGGCCCCCGACCAGGTGCCGCAAGATGCCCTCGGTCCCGATGGGACCTGCATCGCGGTGAACTGGTGGCAGCCCGCCAGTGTGGACTCGCGCTGGGCGCATGCGCGTGCGGCCAAGGTCCAGGCACGCCGGGCCGGGCGGTGAGGGGGAGGGGAGGATGGCGCGCGGCGGGTCCTCCCCTCCTGCCCTCCCCCCCCCTCCTCCCTGGGGGGCCGGCGTGGAGCCGCCGGAATAGACACCTGTGCGCGGTGGCCGCCCTCTCTCGGGCCGGCCGCGCTCAGCCACACATGGATGGGGAGAGACGCGCAATCGGGGCACAGCCATGCCCCCGGGGCCGGGCAGAGGGGTGGCCGGGAAGAGGGGCGGCCGGGCGGGCAGAGGGGCGGCCGGGCGGGCAGAGGGGCAGCCGGGGTGCTCGGGCGGCCGGGCGGCCTGGCAGAGGGGCGCCGGGGGGCTCGGGCGGCCAGTCGGCCGGTCGGCTGTCCGAGCGCAGGGGCAAATGCCACCGAGGCGAGGACAGGGAGACGGCCACGCCCGGATTACGTTGGCATCAGGGGGAAAGTTGTATTGGCGAGCGCGCCCGCGCCCCGCTTAGCCATGAATCCATGCCCCGTGGGTGCGTGCGATGTGTCTTGCGGCGCGGGGTGCGCGGCGCAGGCCGCATTGTCACCGGCTACCATTCCCGCCCGACACCGGGGGGACCGGCCGGCGCCCAGACGCGCGCACCGAGCCCCCGCGCCCGCCCGGGATCCGGTCCCACGCCGGGACCGACGGGGGGGGGGGTGCAGGGGCTTGGGCCAAGAGTGGCCCCGGGCGTCTGTCTCGCTCTCTCTCTCTCTCTCTCTCTTGCCTGCTTTATTTCTGCCTCCTGCCCCCCCCCGGGGGGGGGGGGGGGGTCGACCGGGCTAACGTGTCGTGCGAGCACGTCAGCCTCGAGGAGCCTCCCCCCGGCCCCCGGCAGAGGCGCTCCGGTTCCGGCGCAGGCACAGAGCCGGAGGCGAGGGGGGGCCCGGCTTGACTCGTCCCAGAGGCTGCAAGGCGGTGCCCGGTTTCCCCGGCGGGCTGGGCCCGGCGAAAAGGCCGGGCGGCTCCCCCGGGGCAGGACAATTGTCCCATCGGGAAACAAGCCCGGCGAAATGCCGAGACCCCGCCCTCGGAGCCGGCTCCGAGGGCGGGGGGTGATCGAACACTGGCAAGTGGTGAGCGGTCATTGGTCATTGGGGGGGAAAAATCCGCGCACGCCCCGGGAGCCAGCTCTCCCTGCATGCCGCGGGGGCGGGCGGGGCGGGCCCCGCTGGGCGCCGGCCGCTCCGGGGACCGGCTAGCACCGGTGACCGATCGACGGTGCAGGCGCCCCCCGCCGGGGAGCGCAAAGAACCCGGCCAAGCCTGTCACAGACCGAGCAGGCCGCGGCCGGGCTGGGGCGGGGGCGGGGGCGGGGGGGCATGCCGGACCCCGCAAACGGGCAATCGCCGCCAACAGCGCGCCCGGCCGCACAATAAGACCGATCTCGGGCCCGGCCAGGGGGGGGGGGCGGAAAAATGACCGCTTTCCTTCGAGCAGTTTCCGAGAAGAAGGGCGACAATTGTTTTCCGCAGATGCACGCCATCCCGCGACGACGCTGCAGCGGCATTCCCGGCCATCCCTGCCTCCCCCCCGAGCAGAAGGACGCCCGGGCGGCGGAATGGCACACGGGACGTCCACCAGCCGGGGCGGTCAAACGCCCGGCAACGCGGGACGCCTCGCGGTCCCGGGGACACCGCGTCCTCCTCGCTGGCCCGTTTCCGGCTCGGGCCGGCCTTCGGGCCCCGAGCGGGGGGGGGGGGCGACCTGCCACAGGGCGGCGATGGACCGCCTCCAGCGGCCGGGCCCAGAGGACGCAGCGCAAGCCCGCCCGCCCCTCGCGCCGGGGAGTTGCAGCCCCCTCGTACGCGCACGACATGCGCATCTGCCCCCCGCGGCAGGCCGCTTTTCCGTCCGGAGCGGGAACCACCGGCAAGTCGAGGTTCCGCCCCCGGCCGCGCTGATCATCACCGCGGCCGGGGCGGGGAGGGGCCAGGCGTGGAGATGGTATTCGGTGACCATTCCAGGCCACGCGAAGAGGGGCCGAGGGGGGGGGGGGCTGTTCGCCGGGCCGGCCTCTCTGCGCCAATACCGCCCTGCTCCCCCGGCAGGCCTGTGTCCTCCCCGGCGGTTCCGTGGAAATCCGCCCCCGGCCCGGGACGCGCCCCCCCCCCCCCCCCCCCCATCATCATTGTGGGGGGCGTGAGGGGCCCGCGCGCGATGTAGAGCGGGATATGACCGTCCCGCCGGGAACGTCGGGCCCGGGGAGCAGGCCCGCCGGCCCGGGGAACCGGGCCATGTATGGTAACAAATCTACAGCCGCATACTTTGGCGGCAAATATCTTATGTTCGCTTTTCCGGGCTTTTATTCCCCCCCCCCCC